CGCTTCACCGACGAACCCCTTGACAAATTTGCGTTTCGCTGACGATGTCCTTTTTCTGGCGCGAAGCAAGGCCGACGTTGTGAAGATGCTCCGGGATTTGCAGCAGGGGGCGTCGAAATATGGTTTGGTGTCTGGTGGTTCGTCTGGGAACAGTTCAAGTATTGACAAACATAGATACCACACTTTCATCCGTTAGGTTGTCTGGCGTGGATGTCGACGTAGTGCAGCCAGGCGTAGCAGAACGCCACTCGGACTCAAAACTTTCTGTTGTTTGATGCTCTCTGCGACAGAGCTCGCGCACTGGATGTCGTCTTCATATGCGGGTTTCCCGAAATTCGGGCGCATTCTGTGCTCTCCGACTTACCCCCTGTGGCAACGTCTGAAATTGTTTGAGAACGTCGTGAGTCCCGTCGCGTAATGCGGATGCGAGTGCGGGACGTTCGAGTCAGCAACCAATAACCGCTTACACGTAATTCGGACGAAAATGCTCCGAAACATGTTTCGCGTTGCCAGAGGGAACAAAGAACATTGGGTGGAATGCATCAAACGCCCCGCGTTCGCAGTGGGAACATATGGCAGCACATTCAACAGAAGACGTTGGACGACCATCCAATCCGCCAGACAGTCGGAGTTCGCTGCCCGCGTATGCTTTGACGCAGAGAGCAAATTGAGCGACAGACTCTTGAAGTGGACGCCGTGATTCTGGACGGTGCCAGACGAAGTGTCGGCATATTGCGGTTGCGGTGGGGAGATTCCTTACAAGCGTGATATTTGCATGTTTCACACATTGTGCATGCATTTGTTCCCTCTCCCCTCCCCTTCTTCCTCCCCTTCCTGTTGGTGGATCAGAGATTTCCCATGCGGCGTTTGGCCGGTACTGCGCGCGATTTTTACCCTGCCCTCATGCGGACCGTTTTGGCACCAGAGCAGGCATGCAAACTGCCTTGCCCTTGCCTTGCCTTGAGGACTGGGGACAGGATTCAAAGGGCCTGAGGGCACTCCATCTCGTGCCTCGCGGCACGGCGGCGGATTCGTTGCTGTGTGGTGAGTGCGTGGGGATTCGGGGTCGCGGCGCGATTTTGGGACTGTCCTTGTCCGAGAGTGTCTCCGACGACTGGGGCCTCCAGGCTCCCAAAAACCGTGCGGTGACGGACCGCGCGGTGAGGTCCGTGGGAAGTCCGCGGCCCCGCCAACTTCGTCCGCCGTTGTCCAGCGGTCTGTCACCGCATGGTTTTGGGGCCCCGTCCAGCTTCGTCCGCCGTTGTTCAGCGAAGTCTCGGAGTACGTTTTTCGTGCCCGTCGTGGGGCGTGTGTTCTGCGGAGTTTCGGAGTGCATCAACGTGGTTGTTGTGGTATTGGTGATGGTCGTCGTCGTCGTCGTCGTCGTCGTCGTCGTCGTCGGCGTCGTCGTCGTCGTCGTCGTCGTAGTTTCCGGGCATGTCGAAGGCCTGCGCGAATACAGGCTCGAAGCAGTAGGAACGTCTGCGGTGTGCGGCGGCTGTGCAGAAAGCGGAGGGGCAAGGCGTGTGGTAATATTGTGGGCTTCGGAAGTAACCTGGTTATTCTTCACGCTTCTCGTATCCCCACCTGCCCCCAGCTTGCCTGATTGACTCGCCCTCTGGACTTTTCCTTGCGGGCCGCCGATCAAAAAAGTATCCCCACCTGCCCATTGAGAAACGATGCCGATGAAAGCTGATCTTCTTGATGCCGTTTTGGGATCCTCTTGGGGCTCTCTCGGGTCCCTTTTGAGGCCCCCTCAGGGCTCGTTTGGGGAGTGTCTGTGGGGCCTCGTGGACCTTTTTTGGGGGCCTTAGGGAGCCTCTTTGGGGCCTCTTTGGCAGTGCTACCGCGTTCCTGGCCCATCAAGAGCCGTCTTGGGAGCCTCTTTGGGCCGTCTTGGGGCCCTCTTGGGGCGCTTCAGGGTCGTCTCGAATGCCATCTTGGCCGTCTTGGAGGCCTCTTGGGGTGTCTTAGGGTCCTTTGGGGGACGTCTTGGAAGCATCTGGGGCCGTCCTGGGGCCATCTCGGAGGACTCTTGGGCGCTCTGGGGGCGATCTTGTGGGACTCTTGGGCCGTCGGAAGGCCGAAAAAGGCAATTGCCGAAATTCTTGGAGCACGCAGCGGGACATCAATGATTTTGGCCTCGTCGGGCCTTCCTCGAGAACCTCTTGGAGGCCTCTTGAGCCGTCTTGGAGACCTACTGGGGGCTTTGGGGCCGTCCTGGGCCGTCTTGGAGGCTTCTTGGGCGAACTTGGAGGCATCTTGGACTCTCTTGGGCCGTCTTGGAGTCCATCTTGGACCATCTTGGGCGAATTTGGAGGCCATCTTGGCCGTCTCGGAGGCCATCTTGGGTCATGTTGGAGCCATCTGGAGCAGGGAAAGCCTTTGCGACCACCTTTTCCGGGTGGCTGACGCGCTTGGCCGAAGCCCCAGGAGGAGCCTTCAACAGAACCACAAACCTCTGACAACGTCCAGCACGCCAGGTACTCCGCGGCTTCTCGGAACATCGTCCGAAATGATTTCGTCTTTCTTGTTGCGGGCTGTCGAGGGCGAATCCATTGAGAAATTTGCAGCGATGCGCCGATGGCGTGGGCGAGACGCCACACCTTTCTGGGAAGCGCTTCTGCGGCCAAACGTTGGGCGTCAGCGGCCAAGCTGTCGGACTATGTATTCCCCCAGCCGCTCTGGAACCTCTTCTGGGAACATTTGGGGGAGGATGAGGGGGAGGATCAGGAGGAGGAGGAGGAGGAGGAAGAGGAGGAGGGAGGGAGGGAGGGAGGGAGGTTTTTTGAGCTCAACGCCCGCACAGCCTGGGTGAAAAAAGACACAGCAGTGGCGGCTGGGAAACCACTGCTGGCAGTGAGGGAGACCTCACTGACCGAAAGAGTACCTCCAGCAGCCCCATGGGCTAGGAGGCACTGGCCACACGACGGGCGACCGCCCCGTGGCCAACGCAAGAGACAAAAAAAGCAGTCCAGCGCCTCAGCAGGGCGTACGGTCGGGGAGGGTAATTCCTCCCCCGTGCCTGCCGCGTAACCTGTACAGAAAGGTTGGCGGCCCCCTGAGCAACAGTCACCGCAGGGGGGACAGCACCCCACGGCCGTGCGACAGGGGGCGAGGACACCACTGGGCAGTGAGAAGGACGACGATCACCCTGCGCCTTGGATGATCGCCGCCGCCCGCGCGTGCAGCGCCCGCCGCCACTCCTCATCCTCCACGTCGTCCGCGAGACTGCCGTCGGGGGGGGCAGCAGCGGCAGCCCCAGCACCAGCAGCTCCGCCAGGAACCGCCGCGGCAAGGTGCACCGCCTCCACGGCGGGCGCTGTGCGGCGCGCGGGGAGCAGGTCGACCCAGCTGTCGTCCTGCAGGGGCGAGGACGGGGCCACGACGCCCTCGACTTGTGAGCCCGCGGCAGCAGCATGCGAGGGCGGCGGCCCGCCCGAAGCGGCGGCAGCAGCAGCAGGCTGCTCCGCCGCAGCGGATGGCGAATGCCACACCAGGCCGTCGGCCCAGGCGTCTTCGAACATCGCGTTGTCGTCAGCGGCCTCCACGGTTGCTCGAACAGACCGAGGGCCCGCTCCAGCAGCAGCAGCAGCAGCAGGACGCGGCGCCCTCGACCGCCGCGCCAGCAGCAGGGAGCGCCTCCGCGGCACGCCGCTCCGCGAGGCGGCGGCGTCTGCGCCTCCGCCGCTCCGCCTTGGCCGCGGAGGCGGCAGGCGGTGCAGCAGGAGGCGCGCGAGCATCAGGGGCAGCAGCAGCGTCACGCGCGGCCGCCGCCGTCGGCGCGCCCCTGCACGCAAAAAGCGTGGCGGAGATAGCCGACCGCGCGACGGCGGCGACAGTGCGCCGCGGCGCCCCGGCGGCGACCGCGGCCCGGACGGCGGCCTCGACCAGGGAGGCGCCGAGCTGGGCCGAAGGAGCCCCTCTAGGCCCCGACATTCCGCAGCCGCGCCTCGCCGAGGAGGGGGCGCGCGCGGGCGAGGCCATGCAACCGCTTGAGTCCAAATGGCTACGGAGGGAGGGAGGGAGGGAGGGAGGGAGGGAGGGAGGGAGGGATTTTTGGATTGCAAGCGTGATGAACCAGGATGGCTGTCACGAATGGGCGGCGCTGCAGCTAGCAGATGGCTTTAAAGCGCAGGCAGGCAAGCTGGCTGAACGAAAAAGCTGAGATATCTGCACGGGCACCAAGAACGCAAGTACAGTACAGTACGATGGGACCCCCGCGACAGAGCGGACGGAACGCGTCGAACCGAAGCAAAGAGTCCAGACCCTCCCAATCCTCCTCGCTGCATCCCCCACCCTTCAATATGGGCAACTGGACGGCAAACGCGAAAAGCTGCGACAGTGGCTTGCTGTGCCCGTCCAGGGCATTCGGGTGGAGGGGCGGAGGGAGGGAGGGGGAAATTAAGCGAACGAGGAGGAGAGAAGAAGGCTGGGACGCAACCGAAAACTTCCTGCTCGTAAACCTGCGACGGGGCAGACGGCACACGTCGGCACGAGTGGCGAGGCTTAGGGAAAATCACAATCAAGCGTGACGCAGGTATCCTCATCCTCTCCTCCCTCTCCTCAAACAATCCTCTACAAATCAAGCGGCCGGCATCGGGTCGAACAAGGAATCGAACTGCCGATTCGTGGCTCTCGGCCACTCGGGAAGAGCAGGGGAGGGATGGAGGGAGGGAGGTGACAAGATGACGAGAGGGAGGGAGAAGGCTGGGACGCATACCGATCACCTCCGATTCTCGTGAGCGCAAGAAATAGGCCGCGTGGAGCACCACAACGGGAATTGCCACACGGAAATCTTGCCAAGATAAGTGTCGTACCTGAGCGAGGGAAGGACAACTTCGCACCCTCGCGACACGGACGAACAGCGAAACACATAGGGATACACAGCAGCACGGTTATCCGTCGCTCTGCACGGGATCGCGCGGCACGTGCGCCTCCAGCACTGGCGCGGGCTCGGCTGGGCTCTCAGCGAGGGCGGCCTTCGCGGCGGCCTCCAGGCGCTCCTGTGCCACGCGCCGCCAGTAGCTCCGAAGGGCGGGGCCCCGCTCCAGCACGGGGAGACGCATCCCTGCTGCCGTCAGCCTGCCCGCTATCACGAGAAGTCCTCCTGCATCCTGAGGCTCCATGTCGGCTGGGGCCGTCCGCTGCACCCTCTCCATCGCCGTCGGCCTGGGCTCATGGTGGAAGTCTCCAGCTTCAGCTTCACCACCGATCTCTCGCGGAGGAGCGAGAGGGCCTGCTGCCACTGCGCGCCCTGCTCGCACGCGCTGATCGGGATCCGGGAGCTCTTGATAGCAGGCTCCAGCTTCACCGTCCAGATCTCGATGAGCAGCGATCGGGATGGCTGCCACTGCCAGCGCTTCTCCGGGGGGCCAGCGGCCAGCAGGTGCCATGCTGCTGGCGGCGGCAGTCGCCGCGGCTGTGGCTCCAGCGGCAGCTGCGGGCAGCTCCGGAGCAGCTCGACGCCCAGCCTCCGCTGCAGCTCCAGTAGCCGGGGCGGCCGTTTGGCTAGCAGCAAGCTGCACGAAGGCAACAGCAGCCGCGGCGCGGGCCTTGTCCAAGTGGGAGTGATCGGCCGCGTGCTGCGGCGGCATCCCAGTGGCCTCCGCGGCCTGCGCCGCCTCCCCCGGGCCCCGACGGGGGACACTGGGGGGGAGGGGCTCACCTCCCCCGGGCCCCGACAGGGGACGCTGGGGGGGAGGGCGGGCAGGCAGAGGGACACGAGCACCAGCCTCCTGCTCCGGGCTCGGCGGCGCAGTGGGGCCCGGGGAGCGAATCGCCCAGACTCTCCCACAGTCGCCAGGGAGCGAATCGCCCCGCGCCTGCCCAGAAATCCGAGGCGGTAGAGCCGGTATCGGCGCCTGCGCGGAACCAGCAGCAGCAGGACGATTCAGAGCAGCCAGCGCCTCAGCGGCGGAGCCAGTCGTCGCCCGCGTAGCCGGCGGCGACGGCACACTCCGCGGCTCGGCCGCGGGCTGGCTGGCAGGAGGAGCATCACGAGCAAGAGCACGAGGGGCGGCGGCGGCGGCCGGCAGCGAGGGCCACCAGGTCGGCGCGCTGGGCGCCGGTGGCGGCAGCGCTCCGGGCAACCAGCACCATGCGGCCTCGGCCACCTTGGCACCCGCAGCATCACCATCTGCATGTACAGGTCCGGCATCATGGTCACGAAGTAGCACACGCTGCTGGTCGTCTGGTGGCGGCACGTCAGGCTGCCGCACAGCAGGTGAAGGCAGAAAGGGACGGCGGACCAGCGCGGCGACCAGCGCGGCGACGTCCTGCATTTGCGGGCGGCGGCCGACGCGGGCCGCGTAGCCGAGTCTCCGCGCAGGGGCACGGAGGTCCGGCCTCGGCTGGCTGCAGCAGCGCCGGCCGGAGAAGCCTCGTCGCGCGCGGCTAGCCCTCCACTCGCCGAGGCAGGGCGAGGCGAGGCGGCCGGCACGCATGGCTGCCCGCCCCGCGCGGGTGCGCTGCTCCTGGAGCAGTTCCGAACACCTCGGACCGGGGCGGCAGCTGGGAGGGAGGGAGGGAGGGAGGGAGGAGGAGGAGGAGGAGGAGGAGGAGGAGGAGGAGGAGGAGGAGGAGGAGGAGGAGGAGGAGGAGGAGGGAGGAGGAGAGGAGGAGGAGGAGGAGGAGGAGGAGGAGGAGGATGGACGGAGGGAACGAGGAGGACGGACGGAGGGAAGGATGAGGAGGAGTCAGATTTGACTTCGCCATCCGTGGGGGACTGCGATCTGGTGGACTGACATTAGGTGAAAAGGGGGGCTGGGCCTGTCAGTATGATCTTCGTGGGGCGGGGGATATCGCAGGGATGCGGGAATCTCATCGGTCAGGGGGCGAAGCTTTGTGCCACGATAGTTTGCCTCATCAGAGCACCTTCGGTGATCAGATGTTATTTTCATCTGGCCTCAAGAACAACTTGATCACAAACGGCAACGGAGAGAGAGAGAGAGAGAGAGCACTGTGGCAATCTAAACGGTCGCCGTCTGGGTAGTTACAAGTTCCCGCAGGGTGCTGCCCCTATTGCTTAGGAGAACAACCAGTCCCATCACGTAGATACTCCTGGCGACCGTTTAGATTGCCACGGCTTGTGACGAGCGATCGTCGTCGATGCTATCGCCATCATCGCCGTCGTCACCATCGCCGTCGCTACCCATAGCCGTGGGTTCGAGCCTTGGCGAAACTTTCCCTGGGCCCACCCGCCCAGTTTCGTCATGAGATTTGCTCGTGCCTCGTGTGGGGTAGCGTGACGCGCGGGCCGGAATCCCATGGCACGTTCCGGATACTTACGGTCCTGGCGCATGTTGCCCCGCGGCACCAGAAACTGACCACGGCGTGGCGTGGTTTGGTGCCGTGTTGGTTGCCGGCGGGGGCATTGCAGTACGCAGTGTGGCGCATCACGCTGCGGCCCCCTGTGGAACGGCACCCTGAAGGAGGCGTCCCGCATCATAGGTAAGGTGCGGGTGTTCCCCCATAAGCGCGCCTCCCCAGGTCCACGCGGGGGGGAAGCGTCCCTGCCCAGGCCCCGCGCGAGGCCTGTGCTTATCGGGACTTGCCCTCCTCGTCGCTGCCAAAGCCCCGCTTGGGGCTGGCAGTGGGTTCCAATGGTCCACCCAACATCCACATACACACTTAGTGCTCGCACTCCGTCCCTCTCCATTCCTTCGCCCCTTGTCTCTGCATCCTCCCCTGGCCATCGCATCTCTCCGCCTTGTCTCCACGTTGGCCTCGTGCGCTATCCTATCTAGCCCCTGCGAAGATGTGAAACTGTTGCCACTTCCGAGGACTGCTGGGGTCCAGCGGAGTGACGTGCCACGCATAGTCAGATTCGATCTCCCATCCCTGGGGGGCTGCGATCGGTGAAACTGTCGCCACTTCCGAGGGCTTCTGTGGGGTCCAGCGGAGTGACGTGCTACGCATATTCAAATTCGGCCTCGCCATTTCTGTGGGGCTTCGTTCTGGGAAATTGTCGCCATTTTCGAGGGCTGCTGCGGGGTGCAGCGGGGTGACGTGCTACGCAGATCTAGTCTCGACCTCGCCGTCCCTGTGGGGCTGAGATCAGCGAAACCGTCGCCACTTTCGAGGGCTGCTGGGGGGGTCCAGCGAAGTGACGTGTTACGCAGATTCAGATTCGACCTCGCCATCCCTGTGGGGCTACGATCTGCGAAACTGTCGCCATTTTCGAGGGCTGCTGCGGGGTGCAGCGGGGTGACGTGCTACGCAGATCTAGTCTCGACCTCGTCGTCCGTGTGGGGCTGAGATCAGCTAAACTGTCGTCACTTTCGAGGGCTGCTGGGGGGGGGGGGTCCAGCGAAGTGACGTGTTACGCAGATTCAGATTCGACCTCGCCATCCCTGTGAGGCTACGATCTGCGAAACTGTCGCCATTTTCGAGGGCTGCTGCGGGGTGCAGCGGGGTGACGTGCTACGCAGATCTAGTGTCGACCTCGCCGTCCGCGTGGGGCTGCGATCAGCTAAACTGTCGTTATTTTCGAGGGCTGCCGCGGGGTCTTGCGGAGTGACTTGCTACGCACATTCAGAATAGACCTCGCTTCCCTGTGGGGCTGGGGTCTGTGGCCCTGTTGCCTTTTGCGAAGGCAGCTGGAGGGTCCAGCGGAGTGGCGTGCTGCGCAGATTCAAATTCGAGCTCGCCATCCTTGTGGGGCTGCGGTCAGCGAAGCCGTCACCACCCATGCCAAGGTCCTGACGTCCACGGCCTGCCAGGGCCGCGCCATGCACCGCGGTGTCAGTGTCGACGCAAGGTGCAACGATGAGAAGAGAATGGAGGACTTCTGGCTGCATCTCCACGCGATGCTGTCCAGGGCGACGACCGTAGACCCCCCCCCGATGATGCGCGAGCCCGGCCCGGATTTCCTGGCCCGCGGGCCGCCCGCAGACGTGGCGGCGCGCCAGCGAACGCTTAGCTCCCGCGCTGAAAAGGTGCAGAAAAGGAGGCGGAGAAGCTGGCGGGCGAGCTGGGCCACGCCCGCTTACTGCGTTAGCTATAGGCAGGTTCAATCACGTCGAGCGCCGCGGCGAAGCAGCGCAGCGTACTACCGGCAAAAGCAGCACTCTCCTGTCTCCTCTCGCCACTGTCGTCGTCGTCGTCGTCGTCCACTTCCCCCTGTTGCCTTCCCTCTGCTGCTGCTGCCGCGCGGACTGTTCGGCCCCGCTCTCATCTTTCTCCTGCTCTTCGGTCCCGCCCCCGTGTCCTTTTCGAACCTGGGCCCTCACTTTTCGTCCTGCTATCGTTGTCCTGTGGGTCGTGCCGCGTGCGCGTATCCCACGTGGCATGTTCCCCGCGTGACGGCGCCTGCGTTATCACTGTCCATGCAAATTTGGGCCAACTTTTCTTGTCCCTCGATGCGAATGGGTTGGGCGCGTCATGGGGTAATTCCAGACGCGTCGCGTATTCCCGTCAGATCCAAGAGGCGCACTGGTCTGAGCATGAAGCTGAGGTTTGGAGGACTATGTTTCCAGCGAGGATTTTGGTGGCCTCCCCAGGGTACCTCGGGCCAACTGGAGGGCTCGCTGGAGGGGGCGGCATCCTCCTCCTTCACGGTATTCCCTTTCTGGAGCAACAAATCCTGGTCCCAGGCTGCGCCATCGCCGCCGCCGTCCAGCAGGGCGAAAGGAGAATCCGCCTGGTGTCAGTGTACCTCCCCCCTACCAGAAAGGAGGACACCCTTGCAGGGATTGCCATAGCAGCGGAACATTGGGAGCCGCTCGACACATATTGGGGCGGGGACGTCAACCTACATCTCGAAAGCCCAAGAGATACCCAAGGGGTGGAGGCCGCAGCCCTCCTCAGGGACGTCCTGGCCAACTCCGGTTCAACCGCCATTCACATGCCCCGCCCCACCAGAATCGACAGGGAGAGCGAATCGCATATCGGCATGTGTGCATGCCCTTTCCAGCATGTCCACGCTTACGATCCCCGCAAACTGTGGAGACTCACGCTGTCGGACCATGCCGTCATGTCACTCGAACCACAGGGCGCGAAGAGGGCTAGAAGGGACGATACCATGCAATCCGCAGACCTCAGGAATCTCCCAACTGTTGCGCACGCGGAACTCCGCCAGCTATACGCTCACCTCGAGTTCTCCTTCGGCGTCCCGCCTGTCAGCCTGAGCGGCCTCCTCCAGCCGACCGACTGGATCAGACCAGCCTGCCCGGGCGGGTTCCCCGACCGACGCCCGGACAACGACGATGGCGACACCTCCCTCGACAATCCCCCCAGAGCAAACAGGCGCGATAAGGGGGGCCAGTGGACGGCGGCCCTACCCCGCCTGTCCCCCCTACCCTCATGAGATTCGGCAGGCGTGCCCTCTCCTCAGCGCTGCGGGACTGGTGGAAGAAATGGAAAGCGCAGCGAACGCGAGCTTCTCCTGGCCAACTGCTAGCAGCAGCTAGTCAGAAGAGTGAGACGACACGCCTGGTGGGAACACTGGCGGCTTGGCTTTGCGAGTATGGGTGGGGCGGGCAAGACCTAACCCAAGGCCAGGCTGGCCGGTGGCTCAGGACGTGGGGCGCCGAGGTCACGCAGAGAAGAGCCGCGCGCCTATCCCCCTTTCAGCGAGGTCCCGGGGCGGAACGCTCACCCCTTGCGGCCCGCTACAGGACGGGGCGGGAGATATGCAAGAAAACCCGCGCCATCCTAGGCGTGCGCGACCGCAGCGGCACATGGCGCGACAGGCCCAACCAAATCGACAACGTCCTCTGGGACAGCCGCAGTGCGGTATGGCATTCCGCCCCCCCTCTCCCCGGCACTGCCCAGCGACTGTTCGACCTCTATTTCCAGCGACACCCCGGGATCGAGGTCACAGACAGGCCCAGGCCAAGTTGGGCAAAGCTTGCTGCCATCGTCCTCACCCCCGGAGGGAGCGCCCCAGGGGTGGACGGGGTGCCGTACGAAGCATATCACCCTGGGGCAAGATCTGTCGCTTGCCTCATCGCCCAAGCGTGGTACGCCGCCGATCTCAACCCGTCACTCATCGAGGAGGTGCTAGGGCCCTCTGTCGACCTGCTGGTATGGATAGGAAAGAAGCCAGGCGCTGAAGCCCCCAACGACATGAGACCGCTGCAACTTCCCACCTGCATTAGACGACTGTGCGGCGCCTCCCTGACTGACCTAATAGGCCCGGCCGTCGAACCGCTCCTGGGCCCAAGCCGCGCTGCCACGCGTGGAGGGCAATGCGGCCCCAACATCGCAAAGGTGACCCGGCACCTGAGCTCTCCCCCCAAGCCCCCGGAGGCGCCAGGCCCTGCCTGGGCCGCGCTCCTGGGGCGGCACGCCGTCGCTGTCGATGCGTTTGTCGACCGCGCCGCCTCCGCGCGGGGTGGCGCCCCTGGCATTGCCGTCATCTTTTGCGACCAGAATACGGCCTTTGAGAGAATATCACTTCAATGGGTAGGCAGCCTCCTTCG